GGTGGTGCCGGCGTGGGGGCGCCGCGGTTTCGGTGCGCTGTGCGGTACAGCGTGACGCCGAAATCTCCTCCTGTGCCTCAGATGGGCCGCTGGGATGGGCGGCCCGTCGCTTGGCGAGCCCCCTGCCAGGAAAATGCCGACAGTGAGACACGTCATGTAGAGGATAAAAACGTTTGGCCTAACCTTTTATAGTGCTTTCTCAAAAAAAAAAAAAAACAAAAAAAAAACAAACAAACCCAACCCAACCAAAACCCTCCCAGAACCAAACCAACCAAAACTACAAATGTAAGAGTGGAGGGAGAAACCAACTGCGTCGCAGCTCTGTGTTAATTTGTCCTCGCTTCACTGCCTCATGACTGAAAGGCAGTCGATACTGATGCTGCTGTTGTGGGTGAAACTGCTTTTTAGCAGCTATGGTTAGAAAACAGATCAGAAAGGGAACCTAAACTTACACTCTGAAAATAGCCCTTATTTCAAGACCGATGTTAATAAAGCATTAAATGAAGTCAAAGTCTGGGTTGCTTCTCAGCATTTGTGCTGCTTCTTTTTATTTCCGTTTGGACAATAAGCTAGCAAAGTTTTGGGGGGTTTTGTGGATGCACTGGCTAATGCCTTAAGTTCACTAGTTGCAAAACCTATGATATAATTTAGAAATTGTGTGAGAACATCATCAATTACATATTTGCTTATTGGTTTAGAAAGGGAAATAAAGGAAATAAAAAATAGAGGTGGTGGGGAGGGGGAGGAACCTGAGATCATACCAATGTGAAAGTTTTCAGATTAGACCGAAGTGGCACAATTTAGTAGAGAAACAGTTTTAAGTACCAGATACTAATCCAGTATCATGCAAACAACCACTTGCAGACTTGTGACCCAGTTAGTCCAACTACAATAATTTCACATCAGACTAGAGAAACTTAAGTCAGAACTAGGAATTAAAACAAGCTCTTTGTTCTGCAGAACCCTCCTGTGCGATCAAACAAGTCTATGTTAACTGGAGAGGGAGCACAAGCATTTCCAGGGCATTTAAACTACCTTAAGGTTTATAATTTTTTACAAAATAAAAAATTCATTGCATGTTAGCCTATAGTTTAGTTAATCCAAGGTCAAAATTTGAG